TGCCGTTGGCTTCAGTGAAAGGACGGAACTCATCGAATGTGAATTGCGGGCCATTATCACTGACGATCTGGTCAGGCAAACCATGCTGGGCGAACACTTCCCGGAGACGGCGAACGGTGACTGGAGCAGTGGTGCTGTTCATTGGCAGAACTTCTGGCCACTTGCTGTGGGCATCCACCATGATCAGCCAAATAATGCCCTTGGAACGGTCCTGCAACATCCATGTGGAGGCGTTGCCATGGCTTGGACGGCCACTCCCAGGGATGCAGCGGTGACTTTGGTGGTGCTGCCTGGTGTGCCGGGCAGCCAGCAAAGACCTTGCCGGTTGTCTTGATGTCGGTGTCAGTGCCTGGCCACCAAACGAAGCTACGAGCCAATGACTTCATATGGAGCATGCCTGGATGGCCTGTGTGCAGTTCCTCCAGTACTCGCCTGCGTAGTAAGGGTGGGATGACAACCCAGATTCCCCACATAACACATTCTGGGTGCAGTCCCAGCTCATTCTTGCGCCTCGCAAATGGCTGGATCTCACCGTCAGTTGGGGAGTGTGACCACCAGTCACGAACATCCGCTAGGACCTTGGCCAAGACTGGATGATGAGCGGCGTGGCGAGAGACTTCCAAGGCTGTCACTGGAAGCGGATCAATATGGGCCATGTTGAATGCTTCTGCCCAGTCCAGGCTTTCCTCTTGCGTGTGCGGCAAGGGCAGTCGTAATAAGCCGTCAGCATTTCCATGATCACCTGGCTTGCGATAATTGATCTCTGCCGAGTGGTGGTTGTACTCCAAAAGCGCCTCAAACGTTCCGTGTGGCCATACATGTTCTCCAGTGTATGTTCACAACTTCAACTTACTCTGGGTAAGTGACGAGGTACTGGACAGCAACTTCTGATAGATGCTAGGGGGAATATTTGACACCGCAGCTCCTGTGTCAATCTGCATGCGTACGGACTGGCAATTGACAGCTGCATCGATCCACAGGGCTTTCCGCACACTGGTTGCCGGTGATGTATCCTCAGCTGCTGCTGGTGCTTGGCCACTGCTTGCAAGTCATTGGCCATCAAAATCGCAAGTGTGTCGAAGTCATCACCAAAGTCGAAGTCATCATCATCTGAGACAGGCAAGTTATGGCATGCGCTGTGGCCACTCGAACTTCCTTTCGATGCATACTTCGACTTTCCCCACGAAACGCTGTTTAAAAACTTGACGAAGGTGACCCCCTTTCCTGCTGCGTCGACACTCATAGGACTTGTATGGGCACTCACTTGGGTGGTGTGCGTCTGATCCGCAGCGGAAACAGGATGATTGGTGCACACTGGATTGACTTTGACTTTGGTTGCCAGCACGATGATGTTGTGATCCTTCTACAGCATGTACACCAGCAGTGGGTACACTTCCTGCGAGGTCAAAGCCATCGCACATTGCCACTTCTCAACTAATGGCCTTCTCTGTAGCAGGTTAAAGCGTGAGATTTTTTCCCGCCAGCAGTACTTTACAAAGAGATTGGCTCCATATTCCAAACACGAAACGATCACACAGCGTTGTCCAAGACATCACCCAACTCACAATATCTGGCCAATCGTCGCAACTCTGCAAGGTAAGCATTCACAGACTCTCCGTGACGTTTCTCTCTTCTATGGAAACGGTATCTTTCCGCGATCACAAGAGGCTTGGGCGCAAATGTTCGGCCAGGGCATCTGACAAATCCTTAAGCGTCTTGTCTTTCGGTTTGTTTGGGCTAACCAGGTCAGCCACAGCTTGTATGTCGTTCTTCCGATCTGCGTCTGGAAGGTTGCTACTTGTTTGTTTTCTGCAACGCTGGTTGCCTCAAAATATTGTTCCATGCGATCATAATAGGTAGACCAATCTGTCGTAGCTCCAGCAAACGGCTCGATGGCTCCAATGGCCATGGCCATCTTCGTCGCCAATTGTAGTGTCTCAGCTAGAGACGGGGTTCAGTTATTCTATTATTGATTGCACAGAGACTAGAAGAATAGCAACCACAATTTACAAGTAAATGTGTCAACGGAACAAGAACAAGGAGACGCGTGTGTCATTACAAAACGGCAGGTGTACTAAAATGATCTGCGCATGGTGTGACGTCAATACGATAGTGAGTACTTAAGGAATATCCATGAGTGTATCCTCAGCATAATAATATATACACTACATTCGGATAACATTTCAACCTTTGGTACTTTCTTCTTGATATTAGTCCTTTGCTTTCCATCCGAGTTCATTCCGAAATGTAATACTCAGTGTTTGGTATTTAAAAAGCTGCATTTGACTTTGTTCTCAAGAATTGTCCTCCAAAATAAGTTTGAATTTCAAAAGAACTCAGATGGTGAGCCGAGGAAAACAAATTGTAACATGGAAATCGTGGGCACAAGTTATGCGATCGAGTGCACCAACTAAACCAGATTTTGAACAGTCAGACGTGCACAATCTAGCACAAAACTGACAAAGAGTACTGAGACATTCCACGGCATGAAAGTCAGCTTGAGCAGTGCTCGATAGCGCTAACCAAGCTGCTTCCAACTTGGAAGGTTCATGGGTATTAGTGCTAGATTGTGCACGTCTGACTGTTCAAAATCTGGTTTAGTTGGTGGACTCGATCGTGCCCACAATTTCCATGTTAAAATAAGTTTGAAATGGGACAAGGCTGGAACTGAATTGTAGCAGTCTCATCAAGTCCCACAGGGCCAGGAACAAAAAGGATTTAGTGTAGCAGAATGGAGAGCAAAGGTAGCAGCAACATTTTGGCCTTGTACAGTTTCCACCAACCACCACACCCAATTGCGCTCTCCAGCCGACCTCGACACGTTGCCACAGCACACCACCAGCAAAGCGACACATCCGTTGGTAATCAGTTCCTTCATAAAGATGTTTTGCTTATATAACTCTCGGCAGTGAATGTAGATATTTTTGAATGACTAAAAGATAGGGAAAGTCACCCTGTCGTGCCAGCAGGGGAAGCATAACGCGTGCTTGAGGCACAAAGATTATGGCAACAGGGGACACGATAAGATTTCGAAATTGCTCTGACACAATGTCCTGCCACTTCTGGAACCGGTCGGACATGGCCGGACACTGTGATTTTTTTACAAGTCTGGTACTCAGCACTCATAATAAAAAATTATTATTATTATTGGCTACACGACACCACTGCATAATGCACACATGCATGTATCGGTACATGCTACATCACCCTGCGGTATACCGTATTGCTGGTCACATAAAGGATGATCATCACACTGATCTCAAGTATTGTAACACTGATTCAAATCGCTGTGCGTTTTTCAGCAAGCATAGTAACTGTGATATGAGCGTGCAGTGTTTCTGCACATTTCGGATTTGACCTGGTTTTTCAGCGGCAGATCGAAGACATTCATTTTTACGCAGTCGACAAAAGACAAAGTGGGCATATATCTGCTTGCCCATTCTAACTTCTTGTTGCCAACTCCAAGATCGACAACATGTCACTACTCGAGTTGGCTGAAGGCTCCCATCTTTGATGTGCTCTTTGAACAGCAAGTAGTTTCTACGCGACGTTGAACTTCTGACTTATTTCGCTGCTGCTGCTCCGTCGATCTTGCACAGCGCCTGTGCAACAGGAGCGTACTTGACTGGATTTGCAGAAGACTGCTCCTTTCGATAGAGGCATATCGCAAGCTGGCACACATTTCTGACGCCTTGTTTCCCTGGAACAGGGACGTTTTCAATATTTCGGATTGTACAAGCGCCTCGCGGAATAGTCCCTATTGTAGCGAGAAAGGAAGAAATTTCATTTCAAAACTCCTCGATCGTTTGCTACGCTCAAACTGGAGCTACACTGAAGTGGACAGCTCCCTGTCTTGCTGTAAAACCCTGTTGTCACAGGTTGCTGCTCTGACTTCGTGAGACTTCTTCCCAGGCAGAGCGCCATTGTCCTCAGCCGTTCTCTTTCCCAGCGACGCTATTTTGTGAATTTCGATCGGACAGATTGTCCGTTCAAGAAAAAAAGCGCCGGATTCGAATCGAAAATGGTCGGAAAATGTCCGATGTCCGACCGTTATCGTGTGCCCTGTGGCAAGGCGGAAGTACCCACCACAAAATACCGTGAAAACTAAACTGAACTGGGGTACATAAACAAGGGTATACGCCGGTCAAGTAGCAGCAGGTGGTGGAGACGAGGAGACAGATGAAGAATGACTGAAACTCTCGGCAGCGACAATTCGGGACGATTCAGAAAGGCTATGAAACACTATGTTCAGACGGATGTCAATCTACGAGGCAATATCAACACTTTCACAGCATTGCTAAGCTACACCAGTATCATGGAAATTGGAGCATGCTTTTGATGTGATGACAGTGAGGTGCAGGGTGATGGATGAGTGGACGGAGTACATACCCCACGGGCCTCTTGTACTAATTGCCATGCTCTGCTGTCTATCGAATTCACATCAAATTCACATTGAATGCACATAGAATGCACATCGAATGCAAATCGAATTCATATCGAATTCACACCTGGCTGTTAGCACAACTACGTCATTATCCCCAGTTCAGTTTAGTTTTCACGGTATTTTGTGCTGGGTACTTTCGCCTTGCCATAATCTTTGTGCCTCAAGCACGCGTTATGCTTCCCCTGTTGGCACGACCGGATGGCTTTCACTATCTTTTAGCTATTTAAAAATATCTACATTCACTGCCGATAGTTATATACTCAAAACATCTTTATGAAGGAACTGATTACCAACGGATGTGTCACTTTGCTGGTGGTGTGCTGTGGCAACGTGTCGAGATCGGCTGGAGAGCGCAATTGGGTGTGGTGGTTGGTGGAAAAAGGAATGAAGAGCAACAGTCTGAGCAAGGCTGCTTGAACACTATTTCTTAGCACAAGGCAGCACGCTTAAGACAAGAGAGCCCAATAGATAGCACTCCATGAGCAGGTGAAAGACAATGTCAACTGTTCAAATATTCTCCTGTTCTCTCTGACATGCCCTCTAAACTATTCCTTACTTGTCACCTTCTCGTGTAGCCAACTCACAAGTGCACCACACTTTGAGAAGTTCTTCAGACAGGTTATTTGCGCTTCGGTGAGATCAAGAAGCAGGAGACTAGCCTGGAGTGTGTCCTCAACAAGAGCATCCAAGGCTGTATCCTTGAACTCATCGGATGTCTAGAACAAATTACAGAACAATTAATAAAAACTCGGATGTTGAGCCAATATTAAATATTTTTAAAGAAAAAGTACCTATAAGTTACTTCAATTTCAAATTTGGACTTCACGGAGAATTTCAAAGTATTAGGAGATCACAGGCCACATGCCACGTACTGCTCTTTTCTCTCCGAAACTCAACACTTGCAAGCCAGATATGAAAGAAAGAAAAAATCATCAGTCACACCACCGGGACTCGAACCAGGGACCTTGCTATTTGCGAGCAATGCTCTAACCAACTGAGCTACAGTATGACTCTTATGCACAGTGATGGTCAATCTATCCTTCTTCGATCAATCCATATCTGGCTTGCATCATACGTGGCATGTGGCCTCTGATTTCCTAATACTTTGAAATTCTCCGTGAAGTCCAAATTTGAAATTGCAGTTTGTATTTGCTCGCAGTGGACATAGTTTGATGCGCTCCCCAGAATATCTCGCGAATGGCCGAGGGCCCTCTTGATTGGTGTGAGTTGCCAGTATGATGCAAGCCAGATATGGATTGAAGGAGGTAAATGCACACTGGCAGCATATGACATCCTCAGAATTCTCCTGATCCGCTATCCCCGAAAATGCAATGTACTGTAGGGGCAGAAAATTTCGTCGGTCAATAATTTCGTCCAACTCCAAGGAAAGGGAGTTCGTCTGGTTGTAAATGTCGTCCATGTATCATAAGAGTGTATTGAAAAGCTGGACAAATCGACATTAGTCCGGCGTTTAATTTAGTCCAAAACCTCCTTGGACGAAAAGGACGAAATTAAAATCCAGACGAATATTGCTGCTTATACAGTAGGTAAAGGCAAAGGTAGGAAAACTGACCTGTTCTTGAATTGAGAATATAGCTTGAAAGTCGCCACTCAGTTCGAGAATCTCGGAAATGCGCAGTATGTAGCTAGAAACATCCCTGGCTTGCATGAGCTGGAAGTACCGGTTGATCTTCTCAACTCTCTCCGGTATCCACCTGCACAGTGCACAGGAAAGTTTGGCAAGCAGATTAAACTGTATACTTGCTAACTACAAGCATCTGCCATAGGCAGACCCCTGTTCTCTCAAAATGGAATGCAATACACGTGCAACCAGATGGAAATAGTGCCCTGATGTTCTTCAATATCCATTGAAGCATCTGCATTTTACTTACTGTTCCATTTGTTGATAGGTCTCTTCAGAAGCAAGACCATAAATTCGGCAAGACTCTGCCATGCACTCAAGCACCGCGCTTGGATCAACACCCTTGAAGTGATGCTCCACAAGCCGCAAGGAAATGCTACAAGTGAACGTGTCTTGGAAAATTGTGGACCAGTGCTTGAAAACCGGGAAACAGAGCTGAATAGAAAAAAAGCACAATATAGAAATATGCTGCCTTGAATAAATATATAGGCACACTCATGTCACAATCTTAGCAACGAATATATTGTTCCAGAACGTTTTCTCGTCACATTTATCCATGGGAACTCGTGACTGTACATTTGTGCAGGCAAAGCACACCTTACTGGAGTGCATGCAGCGCATCCTGCACTGTCACTTCTGTTGACTGCATCCACTTGCTTCAGAGCGCACTTCAGCCCTTTTGCAGTCAAACCTGCCAGCTAATATGGCACTATTGGTTAGTTGTGGTCGCTGTGTGCAGGTCCAATATGGCGCTTGGTACACTAAAAAGTCGGTCGCTGGTCATGCAACGCAGGTGGTCGCTGTATCCAGTGCAGTTTCTGTATAAAACTGCCCGTGCATTGAAAAACGGTCGTTAAAAGCAGGTGGTCGCTAAAGCCAGAGGTCGCTAACACCAGGTTTTTACTGTAGCACTTTTAATTGATAACAGTATAATTACCCTGGTAAAGTGATAAATATACAGGTGAAAATGTGATTGGACATTCAGAGTGTAATTGCGGTAACATTTTCTTTTTTCTTTTTTCTCCTTTTTTTTTGCAGTGTACTTTCGTATTCGTGATCCATACCTGTGTAAACAAAAAGAAGTTGTTACCGCACTTACACTATTCCAGTAATTTTCCACTCACCACAGTTACCCATACATCGCCACATTACACGGTGCTAACTTTGCTGAATGTCCAATCATATTCCCACCTGTATATTTATCACTTCCCAGGGTAGTATACTGTTATGAACTATGTGCTACTTTCTTACTCGTATCCTTGTTTTCGTCACTCCAAATGCATAAATCCTATTGCTATTTTGATAATAATTATTATTATTACCTTCAGTCACGAGTTCCCATTGATAAATGGGACGGAAAACGTTCTGTAACAGTATAATCGTTGCTATGATTGTGATAGGAGTGCGCCTATAGTTGTATTCATTGCATTGTATGATTATTGTCTCCACGTCACCTTTTTAAATAGAATATACATTCGTAAGTTCCTGACTCTAACTCCACTTACACTTAGACACATAGGCAAGATTCTGTTGCCATCAACATGAGGGAAGGATGGGTGAGAAAATATTTGAAGCTCATTTTTGTCACCGTGGCTGCACACACCAACTGGAGTGTGCATGAATATATAACACTACCATGGCTTTCTTGCTGAAGGTCAACTGATTTGGGGAGCATGCAGTCAATGCTATCTGAAAAGCAGCAAGGAATAGGCCGCATTCTAAAATAGAGAGAACGAATGCATACATGAATTAGATTGATCATGGTGACCTGCACTACATCCACACAATGACCATTCAAAACAGTAGTATGTATGTATTGTTTATATTCTACATCGCAAGTCAAACGGGCAATCATGCCCAATGTTATGATGATGCCATGGGGATCTAGAACAACATAGTGTCATACCTGCTGAACAATGCCATTCATCGGCATGCTGAGCGGCTGCCTTGCTTGCTGTTGACTCGCTTCGGCTGCCCTGTCGCGCAGCATGTCGCATTGGCTTGCACACAACCTCACAAAGAGCGGGTTTGTGGATGCAATGGAGAATGGTGGCAGTATTTCGGTAACAAGGTCGTTGAAATGGAAAAGACGCCGGAGCTCATTCAGTTCATATGTCTCGACATTTGACTCGACAGCTGTATAATACTCTTGGCCATCTTCCACCGCTGCATCATAAACCATAAGCAAATTCGAGAGAAATCAATCACACCCACAGAGCAGTTTGGTGTGTGGAAAACGGGAGGGGATGGGGGGAGAGAGAGATAGCAATCCAGGATGATGGCACAATATTCTCTCTTAGAATTTTTTCTCTCACTGGGAAGAACACGACAGTAAGACTAGCTGAGTGCTACCATCAAAAATGTAGTTGTAGCAGTGCCCTCGGTGTTCAGGTGGGTCTTGTGCTTCTTCGATTGGATAGGAGTAGGCATCTGCATTCCCGTCATGATGATCACTGAAAACATTTAGCCTTCCAGGTTGGAAGACGGTTGTATCGAGCAGCGCTCAAGCTCACTATCATGCCGTGGAATGCCTCAGTATTCCTTGCCAGTTTTGTGCTGAATTAAGCGCATCTGACTGTTTAAAAAATAGCTGGTCTAGTTAGTGAACTCCATTGAATAACTTGTGCCAGAGTGAATTCTCTTCTTTTTTTCTCAATACTAATGTAGTGGCATGCTTTCCCAAGAAGATCTGACAGAAGAACTTGGGGGGGGGGGAGGAGCTTAGGGTGCGTTCACACTCACGGGAAGGGCTGGCGGGACGGGATGGTTGTCATGATAGCAGGGTCACGTGAACCCGAAACTAGGTCGTGTGATCCACTCGCCAGCTTCCACGAACGCAATGGCGTGAGGATCTTCCCAGCTCAAATTTTAGGCTGGGAAGCTTCACGCCAGAGCGGTACTGTATACTCGTGGTGTAGAACTACGGTGGCGCGCGTCGGTAGTGGATCGATTGTAGATTTGGGAGCAACGACAGTGAACTACAGTACTTTCTTTTGTTTGTCAGTTGCGCGTGGGGAGATTTTGTTTTCTCAGCAATGGTGAGAGTATATCTCAGCACTTGCCTCAGCGCTTCATTTCCGATACGGAAAAAAGCGCCACAGAGTCCTATCATCACACGGCTCTTTTCTGGGTGTGTGAGGGAAATCATATTTGCGTTCATACCAGCAACGTTGGTCTGCCAGCAAGATTCAAGATAACACTGTTGAAGCAATGAATGCCTCAAACAAGTCAAAGCACTATTAGAGAGGACGAAAATAGTACCACGTAAATACCCTACTGCCAAACAGAAAGAGTTAAAGGGTTAAGGTTACTGTCGTTGCTTCTAAAAAGTTACAACGAGCGGGATGGAAAGACCAGAGCCCGTGCTATGCTGTTTTTTTACCGAGGTCATCATGCAGGGTATTTTAAATGATGGAAACGTCTTTGAAATACATTATCGGGAACATGTTTTTGTATAAGCCAAAAATTGAACTGGGACTATTTTCACGCCATGGTGCTCGGCAAAGCCTGCGGGTAGTCACATGGCCACGTTTTCGGGTTCAGAAATCATGACATCCATCCCGCCCTACCACTCCTTCCCGTCAGTGTTAACTGTTAAGCTAACCTCGCAGGTTTACGAACTATTTTCTAAATACCAAACCTACTACTGCTCAACATTTCTAGTATCGCTTACTGATATCAATGCCACTCGTACCACACAGGGTATACAGTGCTTCCAGGTGCTCTTTGCTCTTTTTAATGGCAGTAATTTGCTGGATACACTGCTCCAACTGTAGCTCGACTCTCGGCCACGTCTGTGCTTCTGCATTGGATGCATTGTCGATTTCGGTACAGAGGTTGCGCAGCTGCTGGCTATACTTCTTGGCTAGCAACACATGATTGACTAGGATAGAGCCGTTTGTCAGACGCTCCAGAAGGCCATGCAGAGAGCTCATTCCCCTTTGCATCGTATCCTGGCCGTCTTCTTGTAGCATCCTCACAGGATTAGAGTGTTGTGATTTCATATCTGGACACCCTGTGCAGAATGTAAAAAAATCATCACAAAAAAAGAATAAGCAATTTCTGTTATACTCAAGAACAGACAAGACAGGCATAGGTGGGAAGGGGGGGGGGGGGGGGTGCACTAAGGCAGCTGGTGCCGACATTAGTGGACTATTATTTTAGCACACTGCATCAGACAATTGTACTAAAGTGCGATGATCACAACTCCGCGCCAAATGTGGTGAATCAATCTTTCACATCTTCCAAGAACCCTTGTCCCGAATCGCAACACCCGTTGCAGGATCCTAAAAAATACTTTCATGCCTCCAGTATTCTATTGGGATACAACGACGTGACAATTTTTTTATTGCGATATCCAGAATTGTGCTGATGCACAGAATCAGGTGCCCAAATGCTTTAATGCACTCTGACCTGGGAATGGCTAAGGAAGTCCTGAAAAACAAGAAAGTAGACATTGAACATCCCAGCAGCTACTTCTAGTTGTGTCGCTCAAATCATTCAAATCATTCAAATCATTTGAGCGACACAACAAGATGCACCTGCTGCGATACTTGCTCCAGCCTCCCCAACGGGCTCCTATGTTCAGTACTGTCAGCGTTATGTTGAATGTGACCCAGTTTCAAGTCCGTGCAACGCGTCCGACAAAAAATAAAAGCATAGAATTAAGATGACAGACAATAAAAAAATTGTCATCGCTGCTGGACGCATTGGGCTATCTTTTCCTGGATGTCTTTATGCAGGTTTATTGTCGGCAATTCTCTACAAAAAAAACATTCTTCTTGTACACATACTGCAGAGGTTTCAAGCATCTACAAAACGATTTTTTAAGGCACCTTTCTAAACCCGTTCGAGATCTGCTGCAAAGGTTTGCGCTACTTTTTAGGTTTTCCGCCGTAAGACATCAGTTGACATGACAAATTTTACAGGGAACGCAGCTAATAAGCGGCTTTCTACATTATGTGCAAGGGCCCTTAGTTGGTTCGAGCATTGTTCTGTTATTATTGTGTAAAGCATAATGGTTGAAAACTCCATTATGAAGCTCTCTATAATGGTCTCCAAAATCGCAGTCAACATGCAGCCCACACACAACTGTTTTCAGCTAGATAGAGGATGAGAGGATGCTCGGAGTATGTTGACTGCCATTTCACAGATTAATACATAGTCACAAACTAAAAACACAGAGTAGGACATACAGAATTGCCGGATGTACAGTGGCCAGCACGTCCAAGTAAGCACGCTCTTGAGCATGGAAAACTCCTGATCCGCTTCAGTTGCCTCAACTTCCGTTCTTACATACTGGCAAAGAAGTTGATTGAGTAGAGTCGCGCTGGGAGCATGAGCGTTAATCTGGTCAAACTCAGCTCGGCCTGCTTTGCCAGCCTGTGGAAACGGAGTTAACAGTCAGGCAAGGTAAATCCCAAAACAGAAATCAGATTACTTATCCGGTAACCTCTCCCAAACACACCAACGTCCCTCCGCAAACAGCACCAGGTTAAAGGGGAAGTTCAGTCTAATGTTTTCTTTGCTTAGGTAAAGTAGGATGACCCAGAGCAGAATAATGCAGAAATCATAACTGAATTGGATAATGGGAAGACACTGGAATATAGGAATCAAGTGTTAACACTTTCTTTCCATCCAAATGTGATCCTCTATTTGCTGACATAGATTGTTCTTAGGTGCAAGACATCATCAAACAATAAAATGCGGATACCTAAAGCGAGCGGCAGTTGGTGCCTTCTGACATGGTGTGAAAGTTTTAGCCTGCAGGCACGGTGACCAGGTGACTGGTGTACGCATCAGCACGTGATCTCCTACTCAACCATGTTCAATTGGGAATAAGGGCCAAACTCTGCAACGCAGCATTCTCGGACCAAAACCAACCTGACACCTAGCTCCAACAAATCTACGAGGTGCAAACCAACAGCCATCCAACTTGGAAGGCTCAGACTAGGAAAGTGCAACAAAGATGCCAGTCATAACTCGGAACATTTTGTCCTTCCATTTTTTTAATCAATGCTTGAAATGCTTGAAATGGCATAAATTAACGTACCTTTATCAATGAGGCCAGAGTGTCGGTAGATGCCCTGGAAAGAGTGTCTGAGATGCTGGAGTGAAACTCACCAGGGTTCAAATTGCACAAGCGCTCAAGACGATTCTTGGCTGTGATCTATAAGAGTAAATGCAATACATAAAATATCCAGTTTTACAACTGCAGTATTTTCCGGAGCATAGTGCGCACTTTAAATGTACTATTGCTCACTTCCTGAGGTTTGGTGAGCCCATAAGTGGGATCATTTTCAAGTCCACCCAGAGTTTTGGGGATTTCAGGGGGTGTCGGCCGTTGGGGGGTTCAATAGCTAATTGAGTCATCTTTCCAACATTCCTTTTGAGTCTCTCTCCCCTCTCCCAGGGAGACCCACGTGACCAGTTTTGGCAGTGAGCAACAAGTACAAGTATTGCGCAGATGCCACTATGCTGTGAATATGGAAATGCATGTATTTTGAAAAGTAAATGCATCAAATTATTGCGGAGTTTGCCACCTCTCACCCTGCGCAAGCCATATGTGTGGACTTCTAGTGCATAGCACCGGCCATACCACTAATGCATGATGGGCACGAGACCCCATCGGCAGCATATGTATTTTACAAAAGTGCACATTGATAATCTTCAAAAAATGGCTTTTGTTTCAGGTAACATGGCAAGGAAAATTCCAGTCGGTTGGCCGGTCGGATTTCCTTATTTTTTGCTGATATTTATATTCAGTGCCATTCACGCCAGATCTAATAACCGGTATGCACATGTGTACAGTATAGTACACAGCTCGCCATAATACAAAATGCGTGGTCGATAATGCAGGCGTACATAGCATTCTCATTTCTCAATCAACAGCTTGAACAGACCGCCAGGAACAGTCAACAAATAGTATGACAGCAGTCCAGTTTGAAACCAACTGTACCGTGGTCATACTAGGACACCAAGCAGAGCAGAGCTCCGGGACGTTGCGCATGACCACATCATTCTGCGACGCGGGCCAGGAACTACAGCTTGCTGTTGCTCCAACATAAAGAAAAAGAATCGGCGTCCGAATTCCAAATAAAGTTCAACAATATCACTCTTGTCTGCATCAGGCTTGACCCGTTTCGATGGAGGCAGCGAAAACTGCTTTGAAGCGAGTGATGCCTTTTGGAGGAAGAGTCTGCAAAAAAATTGCTCAGGGTACAATCCTCCCTGATATTTCAGCTGTTGATGACGGTCCGGCCGCCATCAACTATAGTGACAGAATTATTTTGCCTCTAGAGTTCTAAACTAAAAAAATTTAATGTTCGTGTCGAAAACGCTACACATGGCAAGTACAACCACATAGCAACAAATACGACTCGATCGAGTCAACTCGAAAGAAAGAACTCATTGAAATGTCTAGCCAGAGCCAGGAAGGAAGAGTCTTGGGCCTGGCACACTGCGAAGTTCACGCACGTACATGTATGTGCATAACATGCGTAAATGCGTGACTGTATACAAAAAAAACATTGGTCTGAGCTCAAAACATCGGTCGGTCGGCTTATCCGAAACAAAGTGCAGGTCCTCCCTCATTATAACGAATCCAGTTAGTACATAAACTCCGTTAGTAAATAGAAATCTGAAATCCCCTGGCGAAACGTGGTCTATACAACTGTTTACAGGTCCGGTTACAACATAATCCGTTAACGTTAGTGCATAAAATTCGTTATAACGACGCTTTGCCCAAGTCCCTGGAGTGTTAAACCCTCAGTATAAGATAATATTGGCCATGCAGGACGAAGGTCAAAACACGTAGGATAACGCAGAAAGACGCAATGTATCTTTTGCATCCGAGCGGAGGAAGAGCTATGTTGGAGATTTTCAATTATCTTATAACGAGTTGAAGCTTCGATAATTTATGTTGTACCGAGGGTAGCCCAGGAAAGTACAAATTAGCTGCAAGTCCTGTTACAAGATAAGTCTCGTTATTAAGATAACTTTTTCAATGGCCCAGAGATTATCTACTAACGAGGGAGGACCTGTAGTAGTACTTATTATTCCCGTAGCTATCCAGTAACGTCTGGCGGTAGCCAGGATCCACACAGCTTTAATTCCGTTTGTTTGTTCATTTTTGTGTGCCTGACGACGTCGGTGCGCCTGGCGCATTCCCGTACATGTCCCGTACCATACCTTCAAAGACAGCTGGCTATCCCGTACACGTCCCGTACCATCAAAGACAGCTGACCAAGTTATTCAATGGGGCTTTCAAATGCAAGATCATACTTGTGATCAACCGGTACTTTTCTACCTTCCTTGTAATGATGAGCATGTCAGATTACAGTATACTGGAGATTCGGGAGTTCACTTTCGGAATGAAATGTTCTCAGGTCCGTTGAGAATCGTAAACAGCTTGTATCGACAAAGAAAAAATCCAGCACACGCAGGGATATCTCCCGACGTGATACCGCTACTGCCGGACTTCTATCGTGACATACAGGTAGGCGGCGATTTTTCAAATTCATTTTTTCCACTCGAAGGGCGAAGAAATCAGCTAGAAACTGAGGCAGAGCATCGCCGACGGACGAAGCTTTGTTTCTGGCCTCCTGCTTTGCTGCCCTTGCGGCCAAGGTCCATGTCCTCTTCAGAGTTTGAGGCAGACCCTTCAGCACTCAACAATACGCTGAACAAGATGCACGTTCCAATTCAGGTCATGAACCTTCGTTTTGAAGTGATCCATGCCTCCAGGTATGACGGCAAACTAGCATTTTTCAAGTACACTGTAACGGCCTTCCAGTGGGAAAGGGTAAGCAGTTCCGCACCTTATTTCTTTGGCAAGCGCTGATTTTGCTAGTGTTTTCAGACCTGCTACCTTCGCAGTAGGGGTCAAACGATTAGTTCGAATATTCGAGTATTCGTTCGAAAATTTCCAACGAGCGATTATACGAAATTTTGCACTCGATCGTCTTTTTTAGTATTGGCGTTCAATTTTTCAAAAACTTCCGTTGTACCGCTCCTCTACTGGTATGCATGCATTATGCATGCCTTTGAGTCAATTATTATTTTATGACTTGGACAAAGCGATCACCACGGCAAGTAACGTTAGTTTGTTATGAGATAACGAAAGTACTGGTGAAAATCGTTACTTTACACTCTGTACAAGACGTTGGCGACTTTTGTTCTATGTTCACAGATAATTTCTTCCGAATTGGTCGAGAACTCACACATCTAGCGCTTTTGAATTTTGATAAAATAATCGGATACTCGATCGAATATTATGAATGAGTGATCGATTGGTCAAAATAGATACAGTCAAACCTCATTAGGACGAACACTGATAAGGCGCACTTTCCATTAGTACGAACTAAAACCAATCCTATGCTGTCCCCGGGGAAAATTGCGGGAAAAAATCGCAAAAAAACGCGGGAAAAACGCGGTATAATATGGCATAATTTGCGGTGGATTTGCGGTAAATATGCGGTAAATATGCGGTGAATGCGGCAATTTTCAGTGAGTATGTAGTGAAATCAATCAGTTACAAGTCTCTGGTGTAATCACTCGTCATATTTGAGTAAAAAGCCGCGACGATGAGACGTTGCTGACCGAACAGTGCACTGTGTGTACGTGTAGTGCAACAAAAAAGTTCAAAAAACGCGGGAAAATCGCGGAAAACGCGGTCTTTCAAAAAATCGCAAAAAACGCGGAAAAAAAACGCGGCCGCGGAATCGCAATTTTCCCCGGGGACAGCCTATGGTTGGCCAGGCATCAATTCAAGTCAAAATTATTCGTTTACGACGAACTTCTGTACAGTGAACTTTCGCGAAGACGAACTATTTTCAAGTGTGATATGAACAAAGTCAGTGTGGTCATGTACATGTAGTACGAACTTTTGGTCCACGAGCGTGCGCGTGCGCTGGCTGCCTTTTTTTCTTCTTTTTTTTTCAATAGTCGAGGTCATAATTATTATTGTACGTACAGTGCAAAATTTTCAAGCGTGTTTTGAACTGATCAGTGCCTTGTTTGAACTTTCGACACAGTCGTGATTCATTGCACTTTGTCATTGTACTGACATGTACCTGTTTCTGGCTTATGCTAAGAATAACATGCTTCCCATGTACCACAGCACGCACCTTCACGTAAATACAATCCATCTGATATGCATATTGATTTTTTGTCAGATCTGGATAAGAAGAACTCCCGATAAGACAAACAAATTTGTTCAGTCCCTTGAAGTTCGTCCTAACGAGGTTTGACTGTACTCGTTTCACCCCTACTTCGCAGCAACATGCCCCACACATAGCGCATTTTACGAAATTGAGAACACTTTGTTCTTGCCAGCGTCAACTTCAGCATTTAGAATTCAGGAGAGATACCAGGACTCTTATACTCGAGCTTGCAGACTTGATAAATGCCCACGAGCATGATGTGGGCCTGCACGGACTCCAGAAAAAAAGGTATGCGCGCTGGGGCGAAATAATGTGGAGCGGGATGAATTTGTTTGGTGCGGAAGAGAGCCCCGAGACCACCATGGCTTCAGCAACAAGTACATATTGCGCATAAAGAGTCGCACCAATGTTTGAACACAGAAAACAGCGATTCCGACAGTCTGACTAGGGTCAGCAAATCACAAACATTGTGATGTGCGAAGCGACAATTTTAATGACGCGGAGGAAGTCCTCAAAATCAGGATATCAAACAAGACACAAGGGGTCAGTGCTTGACACAAAAATCAAGATGCTCTCACTGGCAGCTAAAATAGAAATTTAACTTTCACTACTTTACCTGGTTGATAGCCTTCAAAAGCTGTTCGCAAATGGGTTTAGCCCACGGTTCTGCCAGTGTAGTCTCTTCCAAGCCATCAAATGTTACCAGAGAATTCCACAACTATAGTTAAAGACATAGAAGAATGCCAATACCAGCACCGACAGAAACGAAAACTAATGTAAGGCAGAATTTTTACCCGATTGAACTACCACTCCACAACAGTGATTACTGCAAGTGTCACACCAATGCATGGCACTGTGGTCCTCCAAATCAAAACACCTTAGGGTTCACAGTAAAAAGGAGTCTACTTGGACCCCCGGGCAGGGTAAAAAAAAAAGTTAAAAAACTACTACTAACTACTACCTGTTAGATAATCACGACCGCCCCAACTCACTCCCGGACACGCACTCGCAACAACGTCCACAACGAGTTCTTTGGCGAACAGTGTTCATGTAATTATTGGAGAAGAAGCAGAGAATGTGGGAGAGCGAAAAACACAAGTTTGTTCCACGGCCAACTCTAAAAAAAACTAACTGGAACTGACGTAGTTCTTCGTTTTACGCACTGTACGCATGAGAGCACGCCAGTTGCATGCCAGCGCGCAAGCGAGCAATAGATGAACATGAAACGGACACCAGAAGTAAAAGGATCTGGCGGTGGCACAAAGTCAAAGGGAATGTATTACATGTCGGGAGACCATCAATGAGCCATGGTAGCCGGCGGGTGCAACAAGGAATGTAAGACAGAAGTTAGAGCAACGAATACCACGCATGCTCTCACATCACCCCTTAGTGACTCATGTCACTACCGAATAGCTACAACATAATCATGACTATCGAGCAGGTCGCACGAGCGTAGACCGGGCGCGCAATGATGGGCCTGCAGCAGGCGGCGGCGGCGTGACCGGGTCAACGCTCAATACCAGAGACGGAACACGGCCCGACTCGGCTTCATCGCTGGCACCCGGAGCGACGGGCGGCGGCGGCGGCAGATCGTCCCCGGCGGCACGGCTTAACAAGTCGACATTCACGATCTTGTCACGGCCGGTGCTGTCGACCCGATGAACCACCACCGTCGAGGGGCCCACGATCGACATAACTTGCCAACCAGGCTAGTACGGGGTTAAGCGCTTCTGGCAGCGCTGAGGCCGTCGAAGCATGACCGCATCGCCAACAGTCAAGCGGCTCGGTGTCGGCTCGTCGATGAAGTCGAAGCGGCCGAGCGCAGACTCGATGTAGTCTCGCATCGCCGCTGCCCGCTGCTGGAGGTCGTCTACCCATGAGCCAGCCAAATACGAGTGCTGAGGCCGATCCACGACCAAGCCACAGGGATGCCAACCAACCATGGCCTCCCTCGGGGAGACGTTGGTGGCGCTGTGTGGCCGGATCCGATAGTAGTACAGGAGCATCGCCAGCTCCTGTTCCCAGTCGTGCGCCTCATCCAGAACCTTCCGCACTAGGGTCAACAGGGTTTGGTTGAACCTCTAAGCCACGCCTTGCGACTGGGGATGACGTGCTGCGCCGTAGCAGACATGAACGCCGAACGCCTCGTAGACGGAAGACATGACAGCGTTCTTGAACTCTGTGCCGTTGTCGGATCGAACCACGCGAGGAGGACCCCACCGAGAGCACACGTTGACGTAAGCTCTAGCCACACAGATGCCGTCATGACGCTTGAGGGGAACCACCTCGACCCACTTGGTGAATGCATCCACGCATACCAACACGCAGTGGTAACGCCCGGACCAGTTAACGCCGAGCTCGAGGGTATCGATGTGCACCACATCCCAGGGGCCGTTGGCTGATACCGGACGAGTGAGCTCGGTCGCCTCTCCGCGGCGTGGGTTGGCGGCTGGACAGCTGCTGCATCCGGACACAAACGCTAGGCAGGGCTGTCCCATGCCCAAGAAATGGCACTGGGATCGAAGCAACTGCCACGTCGCCTCCCAGCCACTATGGCCAGACACCTGGTGGGCTGCACGCACGGCCCGCTCCTCCAGCGCAGCAGGAAGCACAGGAACGCACTTGACGTCGTTCGGCGGAAGCTTGACGCTGCGCTGTAAGACGCCGTCTTGAACTTGCAGCTGACCGCGGATGTTCCGGAAGCCGCTGTAGGCGGGAGGTCGTCCCCAGCGATCACTGCGGCCTTCACTGCCTGGAGTGCACCATCGTCCTCCTGCCCGGCCAGGATCTCGGCCATCGACTGACTCGGCATGATGGCGAGGCTGGCAGCAACATCCGTCGCGCTGTTATCCGATGTGCAGGCCAGCCAGGACGTCGGAACGCGCGTGAGCTGGTCGAAGAGGTTCTGTTCTGACGGAACCCAGTCCACCTCCACGTCAAGGCGAGCTGTGGCGACGATGTCGTCAATGATCTGCAACCGACGCTTGACGAGCAGCTCGTGGAGCCCGCCAACCTTCACGCGGCGCTCGTTCCCGAGGATCTGACGAAGCCAGCCATGCACGGTCTTGGAATCCGTGTGGAGGCGGATCTTCCGAGCAGGCCAATTGGCAGCCGCGTTGAGGCCCTTGATGACGGCGTCCAACTCAGCGATGTTGATATGCCGTTTGTCGTCAGCCGGGCGCAGCCAGCTGCGGTCCTCGATGACCTCGCCGTTGACTTGCACCACGACACCCAGCGCCATTCCCGACGCATCGCACCACACGTGCCACTCCGTTGCGGTGTCATGCTGCACCGACCATACGCCACGCACCGGATCGTGCTCGTTGACTTGGGTCTGGAGGTCGCGGCAGAGCTGCAGCAGACGAGGTGGCACGGCGACATCCCAGCCGACGGATTCGCCGATCATCCGCTTCAGCCAATTCGTCGTCGGTCGCAGCCACGCACAGACGGGGTAATGGCTGACGAGCTTGCCACACCAGCTGAACACGGCGCGCTTGGTGGGCGCCTCCGGTAGCTGCAGGCAGACGTCACGGCGACGTTGCCAGTTGATCGTGCCGTCTTGAGTCGAGAGCTGGAGGCCCAGCACCCGAGCAGTAGGGAGCTTCTCGGCAGGCTTGCACTTCAGGCCGTAGCGCTCGAGCTGCTGGATCGTGGCCGCCACTTGGGAGTCCGGCACACGCAAGTCGTCGACATAGTTGTCCACGCCGTCGAGGTCTTTGGTCACCCACTTCACGACCATGTCGAGGATCTTCGGCGCGACGTTGAGGCCGAACCCCATGCGCGTCATGGCAAACAACTCTCCTTGCCACACGATCGCTTGATAGCGGTACAGACGGGGAGCCATCCGGATCTGGAGGTACGCCTTGCTCAGATCAAGGAGGGCGCTATCACCGTCCTCGAGTCGCCACTCGCGCAGCTTCTGGCCGCAAGCCGGCGCATCCAGGCCTGGGTGCGACACGAGACACTCATTCAGAGCGCGGTAGTCCAAGCACGGCCGCACGGGAGTTGACGCCTTGTGAGCCTGGTCGACAGCCATCAGTGGAAGAACACAGGCCGGTTCACCGAACGCTTCACGGTCGTACGGGACCAGCCAGCCGTGCTCGCGCCACATCTGGACCTCCTTGACGAACTGCTGCTCTTACTCTGGGTTGAGTTTCTTGCGCGGATATTCTCCAACACCAGAACCAAGAACCAAGAGGACGAGACGGCTCCGTGTCGGCTTTCCATCGCCAGGTGGCTTCCCAGAAGCCTAGGTCGTCACGCCAGGTTGCCTCAATGTCGTCCATCCGCAGCGTGACCTGACCATCGCCGTCGCTGACCGAGATATGCCGTGACAGCTTCTCCGTGGCAGCCGCCACGCCGGCCGAGGCGACGTCACGTGCGGGGCCGAACACAACGGACGATAACTGGCCTC